AACCTCCTGTGATCCAACCCAGTAAATGTCCCTCCTTGTTTTATTCTTTCAACTCACACTGCCCAGACTGAATCTTTTCCAATTAGCATTGCCTGTCCAGGTAAAAGATCCATGGTATCTACTCCATTGCTTGGGCAGTTAGACTGGTGGGTTATAATCACAGGCCTGATGGTTTATAGGTTTCTCTGTGTGGGAAAGTTACTGCTTAGTGAGCTGAGGTTTGAATTTACAGTACTGCTAGCTTATTCTGCTTCCGTTTTTAAATACAGTTCTGAACAAGCTCATTTGAAAGTGAACTTACAGTACCCAGAGTAGGTTACCTGGCAAATTACTCAGCTATAAATTCTAGCTTCAGTTTGTGAAAAGGCATTTGGTTTTTTTTTTGGTAGACTTTTTTTTTTCTTTATTGAAACTTATTAATTGCAATTTATGCAATGTTTATAGTTTAATTCTGTTAAGTTAACCCAGTCACTGTTGCTACTGTTATTAAGGTACATGAAAAAAGAGCCAATTAAAAAAAAGTATATATGGAAGTGCTATAGAGCAAAGGTGACGTACAGAAGTAAGGCCTACAGTATGACTCAAGTTAGCATTTTTACCTGGGTTCTGTTCTAAATATGATGACAATATGCCTTAAGCACAAATGATGTTGTTGCTAGCTCTTACGAGGTACACATCCTATAATTGTTTGACCTTTCTGCATTCTGCATATACTGCAACATTATAGGTGTGTGTCTTTCTCATTGGCACTGTGGGTATTGGGAAAAAACATCCTATTAAATGGAGAAAAAAAGTGGCTTAGACAATTAATGGAAACCCAGCAAAAGGCTGAGACAAGAAAGCAAGTAGTTCCATCAGAACGCAAAGCGAGTCCTATGGACCAGCTTGGATGGGAGCTGCCTTGAAGGAGTTTTTGGTTTCTTTGTATGAAGACTGGTGGTTTTGTTGTGTCAGAAACCACCTATAATTATTTAATGCTACTAATTTCCTCCAGCTTCTAGAAAGACAAAGCTGCCATGTACTTCTTAAAACACACAGGCTTCTCATTTAAGATTTCATTTGAAGTATTTCTTTGTCCTAATTCATCTGTAAATAGGGTGTTCTAATACTTGCTTACACTCAACAGAGTAGCTGCCAGTGCTTTCAGGTTCTTTAATGAAAGGCACCCTCATTGCAAATTGATTTATAAGTTTTAAGAAACTTGTGGGTGTGTTCTGTGACAGAGTTCATGTTAGTTTTCCAGCCTATTGCCCTTGTAATATGAAGCTTCTAAATGTCGGATGTGGATTCCTAACAAACGTGTGCTTATTTTAGAGTTAACCTATGGTATCCTTTTTTTTTTTTTCTTCTCTATCCCCTTTGCTTGTTAGACATGAATATTCCTGAACTCTTGGGAGCAGATAGTGATGCCAGTTAATGACTTCAAATATCCCAACTTGACAGGTAACTTTTTACTCTATCACTCATTGCTATTTCTACAAAATTATAAGTTCGTTAATAAGGTGAACTCGAGGTCCAGTGATCAAAGGAATACAATTATATGACCAAGCGCAAAAAGTGAACTTTAGGGCTGCCTATTGACACATGCTTAAGTTGAGTAGCTAAAATGTTTTTTAAGCATTGTAGTTACCCCAGCTTTCCACTAGATGACACTTTCACCGAAACACTTTTAATCTCAATTCCATATTTTCCGATTCTTTTCTTTATCCCCTGTTGAGCTGTCATTTTGTGTTCCTTTTTCTTGAAAGGATTCTTTAGATGCTTGATTACTGCAACTTCTCTATTGTTCCCGAATATATTAGTGTTGAGTGGAACTGCATCAGTGCCGGTTCACAGGTGTTCTTTCTGTGATTGCGATGCCCTGTTCTTCAGTCCTCACCCTTTCCTAGTGGCATGATGGGCAATTGAAAGCTATGAAGATTTCAGAGCCTTAGCAGGCACACCACTTGACTTTGTCAATGCTCATCGTATGTCAGTCTATTGTAATACAAGTAATACTAAAAAAAAAAAAACCTGTTGTAAACCGTAAATGTGGTCTGTACTATTGTAAGTGCCCAATTACTCCAGAAATTTAAAAATCCTCTTTAAACTATTATCGCAGAGATGCTTGTGCAGTAAAGGCCAAAGTCAAGGTCTTTAAAGAAACGTAATAACCTAAATGGCTTAAATTCTGGAAATGCTTGAATCCTCATAAAACTGCTATGCTGCAGAATTTTCAGGCCTGCATCAGGCATACAGCTTCTTTGTACATTTCAGGGAATGTTAGATGCGTAAGTAAGATACTGTAGTTATGTGGAGAGGACAGCTTGAGTGAACACTGAGTGAAGTGTTAGGGAAAAAGACGGAGGCAGAGGGGAAAAGCACCTCCAGCTGAGACCAAGGGATTATCAACCTTAGCTTGGCGTACCTCGCTGTCAGGCAGGGAGGGGAACTGTTTCCATCCAGGAGGAGACTCCTTGGATAGAGGGCAGTAACCTGCCTTGGAGGTCAACAATCAGGACTCATCAGTTGTTTAGACAGGCCATAAGCTGGGAGGCAAAACCTTTCTTTGAACCATATCTCTATTTCCTGTTAGTGCTCAGTCTCCCACACCTCTTTCTTTGGGGTGGTGGCCCTGTTGTATGGACTACCTGAGACCAACTCGTATGATGCAGGTCTTGGAAGGCAAGAGGGGTAAGAATAGACTTGAGTGCACCTAGAAAGCTAGTATGCTATGATTTTCTACCTTGTTAAAGATTCTTACTTTAGGCACTTGGGACTTGGGCTTGAGTGAGAGGACCAACCAGTCTGATAGCTGTGAGCTGGCAACAGCAATTGGATGGCTTTGCAAACACTGATAGGCAGGACCTTGGGTATCTGGGAGGCTTTGTTTTGGGGCTGGGTATCTATATAGTGATCCTGCAGAGACAGATAGGCACCAAAGAAGCTTCAAGGACCTAAGCAAGCATACTTACTGAAGTCAGTGACTCATATCCATACAGAAAGTGTTCCGCTCCTGATTCAGGCCTTTATTATTTTAAACTCTTAATTAAGTCTCTTTGAACCCACAGGTGCAGCCACTTACTGATGCTTATTTGTTTTCTTTTATTTGTCACAGGCTTTCATTTACCAAAATATTTTAGGCAGACGATTGAACTAGAGGTATTTGAGGGGATTTTAATCTATTCTTGGAAACTGTGACCAACTTTGGTACTTTTCTGTTCTGTTCTCTGGACACTAATATGGGCATATGTTTGTAGGCAGGTCTCCGATGGGTGACTAGACCACTACCATTCCCATTTTACATGTTGATTTAAAGTTGATTATGTGTTTATGGTTGCTAAATTATTTCTTATGGAATAGTATTGTTTTTCTTTTTTCATTTTTCATTGAGTTGAAGTTTAATAGTCAAATGACAAATATTAAGAAAAAGAAAGTTTTCAGACATATGAGAAATGAATGAAATAGGATTCACATATTTTTTCATGTATGCCTACTGACTAGCCAAATATTTACAAATTTCAAATATGAACACAGTGAATATTATGTTCACTTTCATATGCATCAGTCATACAACTATTTTAACCACTCTCTTTCAAACCTTGATGTGCTGATTTTTTTCGTTGCTTTAATTTCTGTGAAGTTATTTCACAATACTTGAGCTGTTAAGTTATGCTTGCTAAGTTATTTCACTGTTAGTTAAGCTGTTTCATTTTATGATTTCTTAAAGCACTGTCTAGAATCCAGGCAGTTATGCAAATCACTGAACTTCAGTCATTGTGTTCTTTCTGTATCAATGAATAATTTTTTGGTTTGGGGTTTGTTTGGTTTTTGTTTTTTGGTTTTTTTGGGGTTTTTTTTGTTTGTTTTTTTTTTTTAGTTTTAGGGGGTTTTTTTAATCCAAACTAGAATAACTTGGACGGATTCAAAGGATATCTTATGGAGTAAAGCTTAGCATAGAGGCATAAGAAGGATAGGAGGCAACGGTAGCAAATGTTCATTCTGGTTTTGGCAGAGGAAGTTTCAATCCATCTCTCCGATTTGCAGGCTGATGTCCTCATCACTGAATGTGCAGAGAGAACACTGTTGTAGTTGTTTTGTTTTGTTTTATTTTATTAAATATGCCTGGAACCTAAATAAAATAATACATTTTTGTGTCAAAATATTTAAATGTTTTCTGTTCAAAGAAATTATTGGAAAAATCTCAAATGGTTTTCATAATTTTGTGGGAAGGGAGGTGGAGTAAGATAAGAAGCTGCAAAACTGACTGTGTGCTAGAACATAAATACACACAAAGTATAAATAAATTCTGTAATTTTTAGATTAAATTTTACTGTCAACTTCAAAAACATTTAATGCATGTCCTCTGTTTATTTTACAATTTAGCTGGGAAAGTTTGTAACTGTTCATTTTACTCTGAACTCCACTTGGAGGGAGTGCCATGCAGACTTTCTGAAAACTGAGATTTCTGATTTTATTATAATAAAAATGTTCACTAGTGATCATATTCAGAGAGTCTAAATTCAGCTTAAGTCTAGTGTTCTTTATTGTTTTCCTGTAGGTGATTGAAGATGTCTAGCCAGAAGGGAACAGTAGGTGCTGGGATTTATGGGAACTTTAAATAGCTAAAAATAATGGCTTATGCTGAATATATTTAGGTTCATCCTGGTCTTAAAATATTTTTGAGGCATGGCAAGTTGTGGGACGTTGAGAGTACTCTGCTATAGGTAAGGTAGCAAGATGTCTCCCTCCCTTCAGCTGCAGGACTCTCCCTAATAATGCTGGAAGTTAAAATGAATCATTTATGAGCATCAGTAGACACATGGGTGGGGCCTCTTTGTGAACTGGTATTTTGTTGATGCAATATGTGTGACAGCCTTTTAGTTCTGAATATAAATGTTACTGAGAGGAAATTAGGTTGGTTCACAGAGGAGATCAGCCAGACGTTGCAGTGCATCTTGCTGAGGAGCAGGTACCTCCACCAGGACTGTGCTTCAGATAGTAGTACATGTAGAAGAAAAATGGAAGGTGAGTGTCTTGAAACTTTACTATCACTTGACTCAAGCACTGAAAGTGGAAATAATTAAAAGGTCAGGTGTAAGGACAAAAAAAAAAAAAAAATTACATATTGCTGTGTGGAATCAAGTCTAGGGATTACTTCTATGGTTTAGATTTTATTTGTGGACTTAGTGAGAAAGAAAAAAAGATTTCTGGAAAAAACCTTTCTTTTTATAAAGTAAAAAGAGAATTACAGAGAAGAATTGGTGAAACGGTGAAACCACAGCCAATACTGAGAATAAGAAAGAGCATGGAAAAGAATACATTTTATTTCCAGCATAAACTACAAAGTACTAGTTTTCAGTATTCTCATGTTAGAAGCAATTATTTCACAATGGATACCTGAAGTATTCTATCTGGAATGAAGGCAAAATGTGAATTGATAGAGAAAACCCAGTGACTGGTGTTGAAGGTCGGGCTTCTACCAGAGAGAGAAAACCAGTGAGAGATGTGAAATTGATTAGCCTTTAGTATTTTCTCTGAGCTGCCTTTGCTTAAGAAGGCAATTGTTAGCTCCTTTGTGATCCAGTTGTGATAATTAACACTGATAAGCAAACTGTGGGCTGACTTTAGAGAACTTCCCTGGGAAACATGTAATATCTCAACTCCCTGATGTTCCGGTTCAGCTGGATTAATGAGTGGATGAAGTGTAGTTGTCTTGGTTTATAAACGCCTCCAGAGGATGGGCGAGGATCTATCAGGTTCTTTCAGTGTTCTTGACCACAGGAATTCATCATGTGTGCTATAATCACTTTTAATCCTTTCTGTTCAACCAGAACACTTTGCGTTATGGTTGACAACTCTCATTAAAGTATGAGATTTTCAGTTTAATTCTGTTACTCTTTCTTGTCAGCAGGTATGATGCATTCATGAGCAATAATGATGTAATGCATTGCCGTATTTTTTGGTTGTTGTTGATAGCGTGCATGTTTTTAATATGGGTAACACCCAGGTCTGCATTTATCTGCTGATCTTTACTGAAGGGCTGAATGACCAATTCATTACCAAATTTAAATGGTTAGATGAAAAATGAAATTATTTTTGTTCAAGGAAACAAACCAGAAAAAGCTGCTTTTTTTTTTTTTTTTCCTGCCCACGCTCCTCTCCCAATTCATTTCAATTATGATTTACTTCAGGATGTGATCCTGGGAAACTCCACTGGTTTATGTTAAAAGTGTCCCAGTCCCATGGGCTTAGCTATGAGTCTCCTTTTATGTGGATACACCCTGGTTCTGGATGGGAAAAATTAGTTTCCCCTAAATGCCAACTCTATATTCAATTTAGTGCCAATATAGTTAGAGAAGTTGCATTGTTTGGTTGTTCTGCAGGCTTAGCAGGACCAAACATAATCCTTTAGAATTAAAATAATATACAAGACTTTGTAGTTCAGTAAGCCCAATTTCCAAAACTGCTGAGAATCTGTGACTCCCATTGTCTTCAATTAGAGTGAAGCGCTTCTGAAAATAAAAAGTTGTATGCAAATAAGTAAAAAATGAGTGTTGCCACCCATCCTTCTGGCACCAGCATCATAATTACCCCTATGAAATGACTGATATCCAGGCAGGATGCCTAAGGGGGGATCAGCTAAGATTTTTGTCAAGCTAATCATAGCACTTGGGATAGATTGTCAGCATTTTTTTAAATGTCACAATTTGTGAGTATTTCCTTCTCCATTAAGTTCCTCAAAGATGTCTGCAAACCTTTTATGACTTTGGGAAATGCAGATTGAGACATTTGCATGCATATTTAACAGTATTTACAATTTTGGGGGATATTTATTCTTATCTATTTTTTTCATAACTCGTTTGGAGTGCCACTTAAGCTTTCAAACACCTACATTTGTTATCAAATCTTTTCAATTTACTTTATTATTTTATTGCTTGTATAAAAAACAACTCCCAACTGATAGCGTGTGCAAAACGTTTGTTGTCTAGCTGTGGTTGAAAAGTAACTGTAGACAGTGTGTTGTAATGTGGAGAGAATATTACAATGCAAAATCAATTTTTCAAGTAGAGACACCAATATCGTCCCTCAGCATCAGGTATTTATAAAGTGAGAAGGCACTATATCAAAGATGTGAAACTTGTAGCACAGCTTTATAAATCAAAGTGTTATACAAGTTTCCACCTGCAAGGGAAAGCTGGGGAAGTGGTGAACTTGTAAGGATATTTTTATGGATGTATGTCTCAATCTCAGTGTTGCTGAATTTTGAACAAACTCTTGAATGAATTTTTCAAAACAATTATCTCTTTCATCATTATCTCCTCTTTCATGTAATCTTGACCTCAGCCAATGATGCGAACTCAATTATCTGTTTTTTCCTTTGTGTTCCTTTCTCCATCCTGCAGTCATTGAGCTGGGAGAAGTCGACCTGAACTGTGCTTCCAACTGCCAAATTCATAATACCCATTTCTTCGGAACTGACAGACAGATAATAAGGAGAGGGCAAGCCTTCAGCTTTTATGCTCGCTTCCAAAATCGGGAATGGGATGACTCCGTGGACCAGGCCATTTTCACCGTGGAAACAGGTAGTCATTCCCAAACTCTGTGTAGTCTTTCCCAGTCCTTTGCTGGTAATTAATATTTCCCACAGTCTTCAGTGACAAATAATATCTACTCATTCATCTTCTGTGTGAAAAGACTACCTTCCCCTAACTCAGGCAGTTCTGCTAACACATAAATTTTTCTCACTCTACTACAGAAGTGACAAGTGAAAAAGAAATCCACCCTTGGGAGCTTTGCATTGCAGATGATGGCTAAGCAAATTACTTGCCTTTTACATGTGCTTTGTTTAGTCTGATTGAAGTTGTATTTATTTTCCTGAAAAGGCCTCAGACCCTGCGAATCAAATGAGACAAAATGTACCTTCCCAATGGGCAGATGTCTAGATCAAACCTGCTGGAGTGCTTCCTACAAAATTCATCAGCCAAAATGCATCAATATCAGCGTGTTTCCTCCCTCCAACGCCTGCATTGGCCGTTATATTCTCAATATGCAAATCACATCTTGTGGTCACACATATCAGCGATGTCTTGGAGATTTTTATGTCCTTTTTAACCCTTGGTGTGCAGGTAAGAACTCTAGTGATGATCAGATAGTTTTAAGAAAAATGCTAGTGATGAGTAAAAATGTTGAACATATTTATTACTTAGCTGTAATTAAGGGTAAGTAAGGTAAGTAAGGGATGGAGACACAGAAATAATGAGAAACAGGGAGGGATTTTGTTTTGTTATTTTTTATTTTTTCCTCCAAGTTCAAGCTAGTGTTTTGATTTGGTTTCTTAATGGTAGTAGGGATGTAGTGTAATTTTTTCCCCCCACTTTTACAATGTCTTGACAGGAAAAGAAGCAATGGGCACAAACTGAAATACAGGAGGTTTCCTCTGAACATCAGGAAGCACTTTTTTACTGTGAGGGTGACGGAGCACTGGCACAGGTTGCCTAGAGAGGTTGTAGAGTCTCCCTCCTTGGAGACATTCAAAAGCCGTCTGGACATGGTCTTGGGCAATTTGTTCCAGGTGTCCCTGATTGAGCAGGGGAGTTGGATCAGACGACCTCCAGAAGTCCCTTCCAACCTCAACCATTCTGTGATTCTGTGAATTCTGTGGTATCGCCATGAAATAATATAGTACAAATATAAATGAAATTCTGTATATCTGGTTCTGATAGCAAGGAATTCTGGAGTCTGTATGACCTTGCTAAAATCATTACATGGCAAATATTCACATTGTCTGTGCTTTTGATTTGATCAAAATCAGATACCCAACTCTAAGTGCACAGTGTGTGACTCCTAGAACAGCTTAGTGTGAAGATAAATTGCAAGCTCTGTAATTCAGCTGTACTACAGCAGGGAGAGACTTAATAAAGGTAATATCTAGCTGTAAGTAGAAATGAATTGTCTGTGAATGTTTAAAGAGCCTGCACCCTTGAAAATGTTTAGAAGTATAAAAATATAAATCAAAAACAGGTAGGAAAAGAAAGAGGGATCCAGTGAAGTAGAAGATACAGAAGTGCTAGAAATGTACATATTGTTTGACGGATAGCTCTTCATCTTTTCCAGATGACCCTGTATATATGGACAATCAGGCCCATAGAGATGAATACGTTCTGAATGAACATGGGATACTGTATGAAGGAGTTCATAAGCATATTACCTCTCGACCATGGCACTTTGGACAGGTATTTTTTGAAGACTTGTTCAGAAGTAGTTGTCATCCATATATGGATAAATGAAGTGTTATTCAGATTTTTTCAGAAATGCATGCTATGTTATGGAGTGCGAAAGGTTTTTAGGACCAGTCCAGACTATGCATGCACAAAACAAAATGTTTGAGAATCCCACTGTAGCCCAAACAACTGGAAGGAAGTTTTCTGTAGTAAAATTAAGGAAAATGCAGAATGTTCTTGGAAAAGGTGAAACAGAATATTATGCTTCTGAAGGAAAATTATTCCATTGGTCAAACATAAGCAAAAATGACATGTTTTTCCCTTTGATTTTCCTTCAGGCAGATAGACAAAACCATGCAGACCACTAAGAGCTGAGCTTGATTAAAAAAAAAGGGCATGGGAGGATAGAGGGCAGCTCATACACATGAAAAAGACTGGATTATTGACAAGAAAGGAACTTTATCAATGTCAGAATACCATGATGCCTGTGTTAACTTCTCTTTCCTCAGTTTGAAGATGGGATTCTGGATATCTGCTTGAAGATCCTAGACATGGGTGCGAGTTACCATCATGGCTCTGATCGTGACCATTGTTGGCGCAATGATCCTGTGCATGTCAGCATGGTGGTAAATCACATGGTAAGACCTCTAGTGGTGTGTGATCTCTGAATAGATTGGGTCACACTTCATTATTTTATAGAAGGACAAATTGCACTGTAATCTAACACAGTATGAGTAGCAGGGGAAATCCTTTCTGTGCTCAGATTCACAGGAAAAAACGAATTTGTAACACTTATGATATGCTTAGGATGTGAAGACACGGTCAGTTATTTGAAAAAGTTGGTTTTCTTTTCTCTTTCTAGATAAGCAGCCATACCACTAACAGTATCATGAAGATTCCAGAAAACAATGATTACCTGAAAGGAACAAAACCATTTTCCTGGAATGGAAGTGTCCCTATTCTTCAGCAGTGGTACAACGGCAGATGCAGGCCAGTCAGATATGCGTATTGTGGGTCTCTTGCTTCAGTAATGTGCACAGGTATGATATTTCAGTCTGCCCTTACCTAGTTATCCAAAAAGGAAAAGAGAAAACCAGAATCAAAACCCTCTGACCCTAAAAAGCACTGGATGAGTATTACTCATAAGCATTTTACTAGAAAAGAAATAGAATATTTTTCTCTTGTTATGATATGGCATGGCTCCTAACATGGTGTTTATTATCAACCTATTGCTTTCCTATACAGCGTGAATAGCAAGAAGGAAAGCAGTACTGTCTTTTCTGTGACCTTTATACTTTATACCATGCAGCTATCAATACTGCAACTTTTATTAAAATACAGAGCAAGTGCAGCATCCTCGAGCCAAAATTTATCCTTTGGGTGAGGTGTGAAGGATGAGAAAAAACACTAAGTTATGAACAGGAAGAAAAGACCTCTAGCAATGTCTCCTCCAAAACATAACAGCAGCAGGCTACTATCTTCTTTTACTGTAAAGGATGACATAATAGTGAACTAAAGTCTACAGACAAAAAATTTGTGTTCCAACTTTATACCATTTATTTACTGAACCTACTTCTACATTGAAGAAAACTAAATTGATATTCCTTAGATGAATCTATATGTACTACACTCTGTTTACAAAGAAAAAAAATGCAGTGTTTCATTAATGCAGGATCAGGTTCATTATTTCTGAACTTAAAACAGATCTGGTTTTGTTTGTTTTTTTTTTAAAGCTGGAAGAGTAACAAGCCGTTCCTTTCTGCTAGGTTCTTTTCAGACAGCTTTTCAACTACTAAAAAGAAGTTTTGAAGACAGAATCACTGCATCCCAAATATTTCCTCCTATTCATTGTGTTTATATAATTGCAAAGTAGAATATAGGAGAATTATTTATAAAATAAGTGAAGGATTTGCTTGATTAATTACCATTGGTAATGACTCATGAATATTTTTTTCCTTACAGTGATGAGGTGTTTGGGAATTCCAAGCCGCGTTGTCACGAACTTCTGTTTTCCATGCTCAATTGAGAATCCCCTTGGTATCAATGAGATTTTTGACTGTACTGGAAAAAACCTGTGTGGTAAAGACAAGCTATGGTAAATAAGAAATAAACAAGCTCTTTTGGTTTTGTCAAAAATTAAATGATAGAAAGACTAGTACAAATCTAGCAGATCAGTGTATCTCTTTCTTTGGTGTGGCAGTTTTTGTTAGGAAAATAAATTAGTTTAAAAAAAAGAACATTGGCACGTTATCAACTGAAAAAAAGGGCTATAAGAAGAATGTTTTGCAGTCAGGTCTGCAGGGTCCTGGAACAAATTTCCAGTCTGAGTGATATAAAGCAAAATAAACAACTCCTGTCCCCAAACATCATTAACAGTGTTAAGTCATAGAGAGTTTTCAGTCGATTAAAAGGTTCTCTCTGACATGGTTTTCCTCCATCGTAAGGCATTGAACTTGGTGATCCAAGAGATGTCTTTAATCCTATATTCCTGCATCCTATAGGCGATATCACTGCTGGAATGAATCTTGGATGGCTCGCAGAGACCTAAATCAATGCTGTGGTGATTGGCAGTGTCTGGATCCAACGCCTTTGGAAACGGGCAGAGGTAACTGTTTACTATAACTATAACTGTTTTCCTCAGCTTATGTTGTTGAGTTTCTCTACCATTCAGTTTACAACCTATTATAACATTTTTGTTACCTGGCTTAGGTTCAGCTTGCAGCGGTCCTACATGGGTTCGAAGCATCAGAGAAGGGGAACTGGACTTGGACTATGATGGTCATCATGTGTTTTCTCGAGTAAATTCAAACTACGTTGGCTGGCTTTCCCAAAACAATGCCAAAAAAACAAAATTTTTCTGTGACGCTTGGCCATGCGGACAACATCTAATCACCAAGAGTGTTGGCAGTGAGCAATTTGAAGATATCACTGGGACTTACAAGTATGAACTAGGTATGATGGAAAGTCATTAAATGGGTTAGAGGAAATTTTAAATGATAATCATATAAAACTATCAATCCTGTGTTAAAATGAGTAGAACAATTTGAGGTTGTCTCTTTTTGAGAAAGAGGAAGATGCCTTTCTGTTCAAAGACCTTGATTCTTAAACTTCTAAACATATTTAGACATATTTAGATGATTCAAACAAAACACATGGTAATTTCATCCATTTAGGATAGGATAGGATATTTCAGTTGGAAGGGACCTACAACAATCTACTAGTCCAACTGCCTGACCACTTTGGGGCTGACTAAAAGTTCAAACATGTTATTAAGGGCATTGTCCAAATGCCTCTTTTTAAGGCGCTGACAGGCTTAGGGCATCGACCACGTCTCTAGGAAGCCTGTTCCAGTGTTTGACCACCCTCTTGGTAAAGAAATGCTTCCTAATGTCAAGTCTAAAACTCCCTTGACGCAGCTTTAAGCCGTTCCCACGTGTCCTGTCACTGGATACCAGGGAGAAGAGATCAGCACCTCCCTCTCCACTTCCCCTCCTCAGGAAGCTGTAGAGAGCAATGAGGTTGCCCCTCAGCCTCCTTTTCTCCAAACTAGATAAACGCAAAATCCTTAGCCGTTCCTCACAAGACATGCCTTCTAGCCCTTTTAATACCACTATTCGTATGTACATGTTTTGGTCTCACCTGTATGGTAGTTTAAAATATTAGCAGACTTCATATCATCTTTTTAGATGATATAAACCTATTTAGATGATATAAACCCTAATTTCTTTTAAACCCAGGATTAACTTCTTACTTGTTGCTTCTTGTACGAGGTCTGTCAGAAAATATGCTTACTTACTAAACTCATGCATTATTAGGATATTCTACTTGTTCTTACTTTGGGCTACTGATTACTGATTTTCATTTTCCAGTAGTAGGGAGGAGTTCAACCAGCAAAATTGCCTAAAGGAATGAAGAGTGGATCACAGCTGATTGTAAAATTGCAAGCTCTGGGGGTTTTTTTGAACAGGAACAAAAAAGAAAACAATTGATAGTTTCGTTTGAATGGTGTGTTTTGCCTTTTAAGAGACATGGTAGCATTTCATATTCACCCTAACCCTTATAAAGAGTTATATTTTGAATTTTGCATGAACTATACATTTTGAGATCTACATGACCACTTTTAAATTTAACTAATAAAAGTAAAATTTTTTAAAAATATTTTTCTGAGATATTTATTTTCTTCTATGCAGTCATACTACCGAATCTTGTGTTTCATTATCTGGTGGATTGGTTCTACACCAAGTCACTACATTAGGTTTAAGGAAGGAGGAGGAAGAAATTTAATTATCTTTATTATTTGAGTAGATAAGACTTCTTGTGCCTCCAGCAGATTCATTATCATGTATGTTCTTCAACAGGTTCTGTGAAAAACAAAGAAGCCTATTACCGGGCTTACAGAAGAATTCATCCAGGGTACTGCAATGCTTCCAACTGTCATATTGAGAGAGAGTTATCATCCCTGAAAAACCCATTTTTGAGTGACTCTGGTATTAACATGAGGTTAAAGATGGCTAACTGCCCAATGTATGGTGAAGATGTCCAACTGCACTGGTTGCTTGAAAATTTGCGTAGTGAAAACAAAAACCTGAAGTTTAATTTGTGCGCACAAATAATAACCTACAGTGGTTGCCCAATGGACCAATTTTGGAAAGACAGTGTGAATGTCACATTGGGTCCGAGGGAAGGTAAGAAGGTGAATTTGTCTAATACCCTTTTGTCCACTGTTCTTTTCAGGAGATAGATTGTTTTTTAGGATTAGTGGAGACTTCCTAATAGTGGTGGGAAGTGAAATGAATACAATGTTAAATACTGACAGCTGAATTCACTTTTGGGCGATCACTCAAAAATCAACACAGTGTCAATACCACATGTATAGTGACAGGTAAATCATAGTCTTTCCTTAAGTTCTCAAGGCTTAGAGATTCTTCTGATCATTTAAAAAATTATTTCTGCTGAAAGTTCAATTCTGGATCCTATATTCAATGCAAAGATAAAGTTGCAGCTGTCTATCAGAAAAGCAATTTGTTTCCTTTGGCTAGAAGATATTAGCCAGTGTAAAACATTTGTTTTGAGCACTAAAGCAATTATTTCTAGATATACCATATCCTGGGAAGTGCAAAGGTGTATCAGAACATAAACACTTGTTTTCTTGGTTAATATCTTTTTCTGGAAGAAAAATGATCCTTTTAATTAAAACACATCATTATAAGATGAAATTTCATACCTGATATTAACATTCTGTTTACCAAGCTTTAATTTGGCTACTTTTGAATTATTGCTTTAAGACTTACACTGGAATGAAAGTTTCCAAATTTTGAAGAATAATAATAAACCAACCTCCTTGTAAATGCACTGATGTAATTATACTAACTGAAAACTGTGAAGCTGGTTGTTGAAGGTAGCAATGTATCACCCTAAGCCAGGAAAAATCATGTCTGTTTTCAAAGATGCTGTGATAACTTAATATTTAATTAAGCCATTGTAAGTGACAGTTAAACTTTAGGAGGAAGGAAAGTGGAAACATTAGCCAAAAAATCAGGAAAAAATAATTAAAATAAATTTGTTTTACAGTGAAAAAAATTCCACTGTGTATATCATATAGTCAATATGGACCTTATCTCTGTGATCACAACATTATGAAAGTAGTTGCTGTCTCAGACCCAGAGTGTGGAGAAGTTCTGATGGTGAGCCGGGATATCGTGGTCAACAGGCCACCTGTTATTGTAAAGGTAAAGAACTTTAATTATAGAATTTGTGATCTAAGGAGCAGACTTAGGGACTCTTATTGGCCACTTTCTAGGTACAATGCCGATAAACTTGAAATTCTTTCTTTTTTTATTTTCTTTTATTGTCTTTTTTATTTTAGCAAGATCAGTATGATTTTAAATCTATAACAGTTGATTTAGAGAGATGGATAGAGTTCACAGAAGTAAATCAGAAAGAAAGACGTATGAATAATCCTTTTTCTTTCTTTTTTTTTTTTCTTACATTTGTTTACTTCATTGTTAATTTTGTAAGGGTTGCAAAACATAAAATGTGTTTGCTTATTTTCTGACTAGCTACTGAGCCAGCCCAGGCTGAAAGTACCATGTACTGCAGAGATCTCCTTCTGCAATCCTCTTCAGGAAGATATGAAGAACTGCGTAATGACGTTAGAAGGCTGTGGTTTATTCAAAGAGCCGATGACCATTGAGTAAGATCATAAATTATTTAAATGGGGATAATATTGGTTGACTAAGGTGTGCTAGATCAGAGCAGGTTTTGAGGAAGACAATAGTTCTGATATTTTTGGTGTTTACGACCTGAACAGGACTTTTTGCCCCGTATTACTTTGAGACTCCATTAAAAGCCTCATTCCTCTTGAAACTGATGGATCATTTAGAGCTGGCAAGATACGCTGCTGCTTCACTTTTCTCAAGATTTAAGTGTGTGTTTCAAATTTCTGTCTGAAAGGGAAAACACTCTTTTCTTTACAAGAAATTCTAGCTGGGTCCCCCATCCCTTATAATCCTTTTGAGTTTATAATAGCATTCCTCTACATATTCATGAACTGGCACCACATACGTGAACAATTAGAAAACGACAGTGAAAAATAGCGATATGCACTCTAAGTGCATAATACGTTAATCACAGGAAGCTGGAAACATCCTAGGAAAAGTAGCTGTTCATTAATATGCATTGCTGTTCTTCATGACAAGGAGAACTGACAGAAGTATGACTAGTTTTGAGGGGAAGCAATTAGGAATTGTTCTCACTGAATAATAATGAACTCAATTCCACAAAGCTGCCCGATCCAACTTAGAATACTGGAAATGGGAAGCAGTAAATACATCTTTGAGGCAGAAGGGTGCTACGTTTTTGAAGAATTCAAGAAAGTACCATGAATGAATTTCCAGTTCCAATTACAGAACCGACTATGGGAGTTTTCCAAATCTTCTATTGGGACAGAAGTTGTTACCATGCTTTTCACAACACAGAATGTGTTTTTCTAGAGGAAGGCAAAAATAACAAAGTTGTCATAACAGTTTGTCTCTGAAAACATGTTGTAACAAATCAAACCTAATTGTCTGCCCTCATCTTGTAGTGCTTCAGGTCTCTGAGCTACCCAGGGTCCTAAATCTTTTCCTTCTCTTGATCCAGTTTGGGAACGCTGGCATCCAACCAACAGGCACGGACCATCGTAGAGTTCACGCCTTACAGGCTTGGCAGCCACCGGCTCCTGGCCAACTTCGGATGCCACAAGTTTGCCTACTGCAAGGGATGCGCCAAGGCCGAAGTGTGTTGCCCTGCAGGCCAGAACGGCACCCTGCCCGTCAGCCAGAACGGGTCACTCCCGGTGTGTGAGAATGGCTCCCACCCCATGAACAGCTCTGGGCCTGTCCCTGTGGCAGACCCTGCGTTCAACTCCATGTGTGAATATATATGTATCCCAGTGTGCAACCCAAACTGCAGTGCAGGGGGCCAGCCTGTGTACGACTTCGTGTACCTCCCTGCAGGCCATCCCCTATGCAACTCCATCTGCAACCAAGGCTTCAATCCAAGTGCCAATCCTGGTTTCGACCTGGGATGTGACCCTGGCTTCCGTGTCATATGCGAGACTGTGCCTCCAGCTGCATGCGCCCCGATGCCTCCGTCTGTGTACGGCTCCATGCCTGCCCCAACATCCAACCCCGTGTGCCCCCCTATGCCTCACGTGGTGTTTGAGACAGGTCCTGCTCCTGCACACCAGCCTGGAGGCGGAGGGGGGCCGATGTCCTACTCTGTCTCTGTCCCCGCAAATAATGCGGTGAGTGCCCTGCTGACCCACTTCATGGCTGGCTCCGGTCCCACTGCGGCAACCCAGGCAGTCCCTACCCATTTGTCTGCTCCGCCATCCCACCCCGTGTGCTCTCCGGTAGCCCACACTGTCGGCAGTCCCATGGCACCACCAGCTCCCCTTTCAGTGCCTGCTGCCTCCATCTCGCACGTCGTTTGTGGCTCCACGCCCTCTCCCACCACCCAG